GGTCATTTTGGAGGGTGGGGGTCACTGGCCTGGGAGGGGATTAGAGGTGTGATAATCAAGCTCCAAACCTCGAATCATGATTAAGTCCCAATCCCCAAACCTTAACGCCGCGAAGTCCTAAACCCTCAGAAACACTTCTACACCCTAAACCCTTTAGGGTTCTATCAATCCCAGAACCCTGAACCGAACCTTCAAGCCCGAGACCATTCACCCTGAGTTCATGTTGAAGTTCAGGAACTTAGTCAAAGTTCACCATAAGAAGGAATCCCGTTCATTTACTATAGATCCCTACCGTGGTAACCTCAAGTAAGTTCAGAAAGAGCCCGGTAAGCTTGAGCCAAAACCGCCCTGAGGCTCGTCTGCCTGACTTTGCTTAGCCTGGCAAGCTTCTGCTGCGGCTGTGCCGCGGAGGAGCTTGAGCTAGGGCTTTCAGGTCTTAGCAGCTTGTAGTGGGCCTCTACCAGAAGTGGGGTTCTAGAGAGCTTTCATAGAGTTGAGGGCTTTCAGGCTGTAGAGCCGTGGCTGATGCCACGAGGCACTAGGCACCTGAATGCCAGGCAGATTCTTGCAGTCATGACGAAGATGCTGCTGTGGAAGACGGTAGGAGGACGATGTTGGTTGTGCTGTGGACGATGATGATCATGATGATGATGATGATGATGCTGATCTAAACCGTAAACCCCAAACCCTAAACCCTAAACCCTGATGATGATGGCGACGAAGACGATTGAAGCTGCAGGCATGAGCTGCCACACTTTCCTTCAGACCCCCATTAGACGCTCAAACTCAGGTGCCCGCAAGATTGAGTGGTTCATCGCTTCGCGGCTGCTGCAGGGCATGGGAGAATCCCTGGAGCCAGCGGCTTGTCCTTGTTTAGGGCTTGCCTCTTGTGCATCTCAGCACAGAAGAGAATGAACAACATGTCGCATAGATGTTACATATGTGTAGAGAGGTATGAGTCTGTCTGTGCATATAGAGATAGCTTTTGTTTCAGTCCAGTTTCTTCTGAGAGCTCCCAAAGAAAGAACATCGCAGCAGGATCTAGTTGCCATCACTATTCAGTCTAGTCTTGGCAGCAGCAGTGGTAGTAGCTGCCGCGAAATCCTAGGATCCTGAGCATGAAGCTATAGATCGATGTTTAAACCCTCAGCCCCAATACCCAAATACCCGAGGTCATCTTTGCCATGGCCCGTGACTACTTCGCTGAGCCATCCGAGCGTTTCGTAGTCGTCGCGGCTTTGCAGCTGCTTGCTTCAGAGTTTACAGGTCCAGGGTGTAGGCTTCATGAAGGTTGTTGGGGTTTAGGGTTTAGGGTTTGGCTTTAGGGTTTAGTAGGGTTTGGGTGTAGGGTTTGGGGTTTTAGGGTTTCTAGCGGGGGTGTAGGGTCTGGACTCCAGGGCATAGCAGTGTAGCGTAGCGCTTCAAGCCCCAAGCTTCTACGCTGAAGCGTAGACCCTAAACCCTGAACCCGAAACTTTAAGCACGAACCCGAAACACCTCAACCCTGAACCCTTAGCCCTAAACCCACTGATAACCCTCAACCCTAAACCGCCCTTATAAAGTTTCCCTAAACCCGTAAACCTGGGAGGAGCGCACTGCGCCCCCACAGCCCCCAGGAGCCTGAAGCTCCGTATAGTCCTGAGAGGCCCCGATCCTCATCCGCGGCCTCCTCAATATCGGTGTTTGACTAGCAATAAAAAGCAGTAGACACCATCTGAGAAGGTGAGGGGTATCAATGATCATAATAAACGTATCTCCTTATAGCACCACATATCCCCAAAGCTTTTTTCTAAGTACTGAAGCCCTTAAGTTATTGGATGCATGGATGTGAGGATGATGGCTTTCGTGGGCATTGCCTTGGCCCCTCTTGTCGGAGGGCTCGGCGCGCATTACCTCAGCTGGCGCGCTTCCTTTTTTGGCCTTGCCCTGCTGCTTGGCTGAACTTCCAGGCTTTAGGGTTCTACGGCTTAGTAGGCTTAGTATTCGATTTTGCTGTGCATTTGTGTTGCACTGCGCGTCAGATTATAGATCGGATGGCTACATACACTCACACTTTATACCCCACATTCGTATGTAGCTGCGTGCCATTTTGTTTATGATGCTGAATTGTTTACCTTTTTTTGTGTTTTGCATGATACAGTACTTTGTGACATGCTGGCAGCTGGGCACTACCATATCGTAGCTCAGCGTGCCACATGCGACCGCAGGCGTGCATGTGTGTATAGAGCTAGCAAGCATGAATAAAGCACACAACCAACAGCTAGACACAGGTATACAGGCAGATGTACATACATAGGTGCATACATGCATACATGCATACATACATACATACATACATACATACATACACATACATACATACATACATACATACATACATACACATACATACATACATACATACATACATACATACATACATACGTAACACAT